CATCAAAATACCAATGACATTCTTCACAGAAAGCGAAGTGAGCGGCCGGTCTGTATGTGGGATCTGAACCCTCGGCGGGAGCGCCGCTGCGCTTCCCAAGTGGCGCACTGTAGCAGTGCGCCACTGGGCCGGCCCTATATCATTATATTTTTGCATGTTTTATCATGATATAAGGTTTTTTGTCTCTGGTAACAATTTTTGTGTTAAAGTCTAATTTGTTTGATGGTAGAATAGATACCCCACTCTCTTTTGGTTCCTTTCCATATGGAATCTTTTCCATCCTTTTACTTCCAACCTATTTGTGTCTTTGAATCTAAAGTAAGTCACTTATGGACAGCATGTAATTGGATCATTGGAGAATTCATTACACTTACATTTAATTTAATTACTGATAGAGTTTCCTGTCATGTTGCTATTTGTTTTCTATATCTTACAGGTTTTTTTTGTTCCTCAGTGCCTCCTTTACTGCCTTCTTTTATGTTTAGTAGATATTTTCTAGTATACTATTTTAATTCCCTTGTCAGCTTTTTTTTTTTTTTTTTTTACTATTTATGTATTTTTAGTTATGTTTTTAGTGGTTGCCCAGGGGATTAAAATTAACATGTTAATTTATAACAGTTTAATTTAGGTTAATATCAACTTAATTTCAATAGTATCCAAAAATTTTATTTCTGTCAAGCTTTGTTCCCCCAACTTTATGCTGTTATTGTTACAAACTACTTCTTTATTTAGTGTACCCATAAACCTAGATTTATAGTTATTGCCTTATGCACTTGTCATACAAATTAGATAGGAAAAAAAGAAATTCCAAACAAAAAAATACATTTATAGTGTCTTTCATATTTACCTATGTACTTGTCTTTACCAGTGTTCTTTATTTTTTGTGTGGATTTGAGTTACTGTCTAGAGTCATTTCGTTTTAGCCTGAAGGACTTTCTTTAGCACTTCTTGTACAGTAAACCTGCTAATGATGAATTCTCTTAGTTTTCATTTATCTGGGAATGCCTTAACTTCTTCATTTTTTTTTTTTTTCCTTTTTGTCTTTTTTCGTGTCCGGCAACGGATCGCAACCCTCAGTGTCGCGCCCGTACCGGACCGGGACCGGCAACGGGATCGCAACCCTCGGTGCTGCCCCCGCACCTCTTTCAGCCAGTGAGCGGGAACTGGTCTGTATGTGGGATCCAAACCCTTGGCGGGAGCGCTGCCGTGCTTCCCAAGCGGCACACTGTAGCAGTGCGCCACCGGGCCGGCCCCAACTTCTTCATTTTTTTTTTTTTTCCTTTTTGTCTTTTTTCGTGACCGGCAACGGATCGCAACCCTCAGTGTCGCGCCCGTACCGGACCGGGACCGGCAACGGGATCGCAACCCTCGGTGCTGCCCCCGCACCTCGTTCAGCCAGTGAGCGGGAACTGGTCTGTATGTGGGATCCAAACCCTTGGCGGGAGCGCTGCCGTGCTTCCCAAGCGGCACACTGTAGCAGTGCGCCACCGGGCCGGCCCCATTGAAGGATAGTTTTTTCACATATAGGATTCTTGGTTGACAGTTTTTTTTCTTTTAGCACTGTAAATATGTTTTCCCTCTTGGCCTCCTGGTATCTGATACAAAATCAGCTGTTAATCTTCCTGAGGATCCTTTGTCTGTGATGAGTCTTTTCCCTCTTGCTGTTTTCAAGATTTTCTATGTGTTTATGTCTTTTTAAAGTTTTTGATATGTCTCGGTGTAGATCTCTTTGACTTTATCCTACTGGGAATTTGTTGAGCTTTTTGGATGTGTGATGTTTTTGTCAAATTTGGGAAGTTTTTTAGGGCCAGCCTGTGGCTCACTCGGGAGAGCGCGGTGCTGATAACACCAAGGCCACAGGTTCAGACCCTATATAGGGATGGCCGGTCTGCTCACTGGCTGAGTGTGGTGCTGACAACACCAGGCCAAGGGTTAAGATTCCCTTACCGATCATCTTTTTAAAAAAAAAAATTGGGGGGGGAAGTTTTAGACCTTTTTTTTTTTTAAGTATTCTTTCCTCCCCTTTCTTTGACTTCTCTTCTTCTGGGACTCCCATTATTTGTATGTTAGTACTCTTGGTACTGTTCCAGAAGTCTCTTTTAGACCCTGTTTATTTCTTTTCAGTTTTTAAAATTAATGTGAAATCCACATAATATACAATTATCTTTTTATTTTCTTGGGGCAGCTGGCTGGTATGGGAATCTGAAACTATGACCTTGGTGTTATAAGGCTACACTCTAACCATCTGAACTAACCAGCCAGCCCAATTAATCACTTTAAAGTGTACAATTCAGTGGTATATAGTGTGTTGACAATGTTGTGCAAGCACAGCTTTTCATTATTTTTTCTTTCTGTTCCTCAGACTGGAAATTTTTAATTTACCAGTCTTCAATCCACTGTTTCTTTCTCTGCCTTCTCAACCTGCCATTGAGCCCTTCTAGTGAATTTTCATTTCAGCTTTTGTACTTTGCAACTTCAGAATTTCTATGTGTTTCCTTTCCTTTTTATAATTTATGTCTATTTATTGATATTCTTTATTTGGTGAGACATCATTCTCACATTTCATTTAGTTCTTTTAGCTTTTTCATGGTTTCCGTATTTAAAATAGTTTGCCTAGTAAGTTTTTGTTCAATGTCTTGGCTTCCTCAGGGGCAGTTTCTACTGATTTCTTTTTTCCCTGTGTATAGATCATGCTTTCTTTCTTTTTTTTTTTTTTGCATGCCTCATAATTTTTTGTTGAAAACTGGACATTTTGGGGCTGACTGGTTAGCTTACTTGATTAGAGAGTGATGTTGGTAACACCAGGTTCAAGGGTTTGGATCCCCATATTGGCTAGCCACAAAAATGAAAACAAAAAAACAAACAAAAAACAAAGAAAAAGAAAAGAAAACTGTACATTTTAAAATTATGACATGAAAACTCTGTAAATCAAATTTACCCTGCCCCGAAGTTTTGTTGTTATTGCCGGTTGTCATTGTTTGTTTGTTTCATGGCTTTTATGAACTAATTCTGTCAGTCTGTGTTTTTTGTTGTACATGGCCACAGAAGTCTTTATTCTGTTTGCTTAGTGGTCAGCTAATGATTGGACAGAACTTTATTTAAATGCCTGGAACCAAAAGATATCTACCAATCTTTGCTGGAGAGCTATGTGTGTATGGACCTACTTTAACACTCAGCTAGGCAATTTATAACTATGCCTTGGACTTCACTTTCTGCTTACACAGAGCCTCAAGGTCAGGCAGAGTGAAACCTTAGCTTCTTCTCATGTTTTTCCTGAGCCTGCACACAGCTTTGGGCATGCACATGGCGTGATTCTAAATATGAGATCCTGATAACTTAGATGAGGATGTAGTGATGGAGAAGAGAAATCTAGGAGATATTAAGGAGGTAGAATTGACTGAAAGATTATTAGGTAGGCATAGACAGTATCTCAAAAGAGGAATTCTTTTTGTTTTAAAATTCTGGTAGTGAATAATTTAACATTTAAAAACCCATGTAAACACCAAGGTCAGCGGTTCAAATCCCTGTACAAGCCAGCCATCATAAAAATAAACAATGGAAAAAAATAAAGAAACCTGTGTAAGCAATTATCCATATTTGTTTGTTGATTTGCTTCACTTCGAACTCTAATTAATCAGTATTTGATTCTAAGACAATTCGTCTATCTATTCAAAAAAGCAAATTGTAAAAAGAAGATACTATGTGTGAACCTTTTTCTAACATGAAATTGTCTTCCTAGTGGATATTTTGACATATGTGGTCTGGAAGATAAGTGGTTTACCTGCAACTCGTGTAATTGGAAGTGGCTGTAATCTAGACTCTGCCCGTTTCCGTTACCTAATTGGAGAGAAGTTGGGTATCCATCCCACGAGCTGCCATGCATGGATTATTGGAGAACATGGTGATTCTAGTGGTGAGAATAAACCTATTATCATTATGTAACTGCCCTTCTTATCTCTAATAATTATTTTCTTAAAGTATGTTTTTTCTGATATTATTATAGTTTTTTAACTTTCATTTTGTTGGTGTTTCCCTAGTGTATCTTTTTCTGTTCCTTTAATTTCAATCTTTTGCATCGTTGATTTAGCTACCTCTCATAAAATAGTGCATAAGACATATTGCTGTTTCAAAAGTCAGTCTGAGTGTTTCTCTTTTCTGGAGCCCTTTCATTTATTGTGACTTTTAAACAGCTTTATTAAAATATAATTCTCATACCATAAAATTCACCCATTTAAAGTTTACAGTTCACTAGTTTTTAGTATATTCATAGTTGTACAAGCATCACCACAATCTAATTATAGAATATTTTTTTCTTCTTTTATTTTTTAAAATTATAGAATATTTTCATCAACCCAAAAAGAGACTCACATTCCTACCCCTACCCCAGCCCCAGGCAACCACTAGTTTACTTTCTGACTCTGTAGATTTGTTTACTCTATAGATTTTTTAGATAAATAAAATTATATGTGATTTTAACTACTAGTTAAGGCCACACCAACCTCTTTCTTTTCTGAACTGAAATATTTACTCTCTGCTATATAGTTAGAACTTTATACTTCTTCCAGTGTTCTCTAGTGTTCTCTAATTATATCATACATATAAATCATCTTTACATAATGGCAATAAATATTAAGAATAGGGACCATATGTTCATTTGTTCAATCATTCATTTATTTATTCAAAACATTTGATGTGCTCCTCTCTTTTCTTTATACTTCAAGGGTCATAGCATAATAAATACTTTTGATCAGACTTGGACAAATGCTTTTTTAACCAGTACCTTAATTTGACCCTGTTGGCTTGTGTTATCCTAACTCAGCTCTTCTTTCTGAACGTCATTCAAAATAATTTTTCCAGATATGTTTTAATTTATCATATTTAATATTCCATGATTTTATTTTTAGAGAGACAGTATATTCTGATTAGTGTTAATTTGAATATATTTAGTATTCTACTTAGCATGATTTTTCTTTGTTTCCTTTTTCTTTTTATGCTTTCTGTTGGATCGATTCTGATAGATTTCTTTAATTTCCCCTACCACTTCAGATTATACCCTCACCTTGTAAATAGTCATCTACAAATTTTTAACATTCATTCATGACTTCAAGATGATTCGTGTATTAATTCTTCTTTGGAACAATACAGAGAACTCAGAATGCTTTAAGTTTGATCATCCTCTTTCTGTCATATGTAATTATTAGTTCTTTTTCTGGTTCCATCCTGTTTTTATATCCCCCAAACTAGTATAATTATTATTGTTTGAATAGTTAATACTTGTTTCGATTTCTTTACATGTTTGCCAGTTTTACTGCTTATCTTTATTTTCTACATCTAATTCCTTCTCCTGGATTCAATTTCTTTCTTCCTGAACTATATCCTGTCAGTGTTGTTTATATGGAAGTATTTTAGTTTCACCTCACTCTAGAATGACAGTCTAATTCTAGATTGACAATTATTCCACCTCAGATCTTTGTTAGTGTTGAGAGAAGTATAGTATTAATTTGTTATTCTTTCCCCTCTAGTTGTTTATAATATTTTATTTCTTATCAATCCTTCTCTTTGTAGATTCTGTATTTCATATATTGCTTAAAAATACCTCCTGTATATATGTTGCTTAAAAATGTCTTCTATTGGGCCGGCTCGGTGGCGCACTGGAGAGTGCGCCGCTTGGGAGTGCGGCGGCGCTCCCGCCGAGGGTTCGGATCCCATGTGGAGACCGGTTCCCGCTCACTGGCTGAGCGTGGTGCGGGCGCAACACCGAGGGTTGCGATCCCGTTGCTGGTCCCCAGTACGGGCGCGACACTGAGGGTTGCGATCCCGTTAACGGTCAGTAAAAAAGACAAAAAGGAAAAAAAAAATGTCTTCTATCCCATACAGTTATAAAGAAATTCTACTCTATATTTTGTAACGCTTTATAATTTTATTTCTTACATTTTACTCTTTTGTGTATTTGAAACTTACTTTTATCTATGGTGTAAGATAGTAACTTAACTTTAAAGAACAACACTGAACTCAAACAACTGATGCAATATTGGGAAGAAGAGTTCATTATGAGTATATATTTTTAGTGCCCTTATGGAGTGGAGTGAATGTTGCTGGTGTTACTCTGAAGAGTCTAGACCCTAAATTAGGAACTGATTCAGACAAGGAACAGTGGAAAACTATCCATAAACAAGTTGTTGAAAGGTAACAGTACTTATTCATTTTCTTAATGCCTTAATAATTAGTCTTAAGAATAAATTTCACAAAAGTCTAGTTGATCTTTGCTTTTTGTGAGATAACTCCAGCCTTCAGAAAATCCCTCAATTCAAACTTATATTATGCATAGCTTTCTTTGGGGGGTATTTTTCAAAAAGAAAGAGTACTTATTTCACAAGTGCTCATATATTATTTGATGGGTAATAAAGCATAGTGATTATGAGCATGGACTTTGGAGCCAGGTTGTCCAGGTTTGAAACCTGGTTTCATCATTTATTAATGGTATGATACTGGGAAATTACTTAAAATACCAAATGCTCAGTTTACTCATCTTTAAAATGGGGATAATTATAGAAACTACCTTAAAGGCTATTATGAAGAGTAAATAAGTTAGTACATGTAAAATGCTAGAACAGTGCCTGGAACTTACTAAACGTTCATCATATGACTTGATGAAAGAAGCATGAAGCTAATGCAGATGATCAGTTATTAGTGACGTTTTCTTATAAATGAAGTGTCTGACTCCATATACATCAGGCTTAACAGCATTAATGATTATCTGTCATGTTTTAACCAAGTTACATATTAGCAGAAGTTATAGAGCTTAGAAATCACTGTTGGATAGTCACAACTTGGAATATTAAATCTACAAAAGCCACAAGTACACTGTGTGTATATTTATGGTAAAAAAAACCCTACAAAAATATGTAAGAATTAGGGCAGAGACTAAAAAGTCACATAATATAACAAAAAGTGATTATGGGTTTTATTCTCTAAATGCCTTTAGTTTAAAAGGTTAAAATTATTTTATTTTCTGATTATAAAAACATGGCCACCTGAATGGGTACAGAGTTTCAGTTTGGGAAGATAAAATGTTCTAAAGAGATAATGATTATATAATAATGTTAATGTACTTAGTGCCACTGAACTGTACACTTAAAAATAGTTAAAATGGTAAATTTTACCACAGTTGAAAAAACAATTTTTAAAGAAGTACATGGCCACTAATAGTGGTCTGAAGTCCAGACTGTGAGATTCACAGGATATATAATATTTTTAACCTAGCATTAAGTTTATCTAGTATGGTGAAAGATTACCAGATGGAAAACACACTATAGATGATCAGCATTTTCTTGAGGAAGTATTGCAAATGCTTAGGTATAGCTTCCAGGCCCTATCACTGCATGGGTCACACTCAGTTGTAAGAGATGAAGCTGACATGGGCAGACTGCTATAACACAGGAAAGCTGCTGACTTTGTTTCTGAACACTTTTAATACAGCTCTTGTCACACAGCCCTCGGGGTCTATATGTTTGCTCCCAGTACTCCTAGTCCTGATGCAATGCACAAATCAAGGGTTTCATAATACCCAATGCTAATGACCTAGTTCTGTTTTGGTTAATATTCTATATTTATCCTAATTTTTATATGTCGTGCAAAAGCAAAATCAAGGTCATCTTCCCAGTTACTCCAGACATTTCGGGAAGGTTCATACTTGCTGTTAATTCTTTGTCCATGGCACTTCTCCATGACCTTTCGTTATTGTCTTTATATCATATATTCCTAAGAGTTCCTTTGAAAAACGTATCTTCAATATTTTATGCATAGAAAAAGGCAAGTTAGTTCACCCACAGCTACCAGGATCTACAAGGTCCAATAGGTAACCAGAATCCCTCACAGATGTTTTGGTAATCCTTAACCAGTTCGGCTATCTTTTTTGCTCTCTTTTATTTACTCTCACTTGCCCCTTACAAAATGTATTGATAGACACATCTAATTTTGTGTTCTATATCTCTAAAGCAAATTTATTTCCTTTTCTGGCCAAACTGTTTTCATAGGAATCACATCAATCAGAAGTTTTAGATCAATTTCCCAAAATATCTGTTTATTTTGGTAGTAATTATTGGTATGTTTCATTTTCTTAAATTTCCTTAAGGGAACTGGCAAATGCTTTGTTACACCAAACAACTTTGGATGAGAGATTAAATTGATGCCTAGCAAACAATACATATGTTAATATTACAGTATCATTTCCTATCCTACTCAGCAAAAATATCCCTTACCCATATGTTTTCCATTGTAGGGAAAGATCAGTACTCATTCCAGTTAGTCCTGTCAACTCTGCAGTGTCCAAAATTAAATTATTTGCCCCTTGATCATTTAGCAGAAAATCTGTAATAAAGAATCCTCAGGAATACTGCTAGTATTGATCTAAAAATTACGCAGCTCTTTTACACTATATTTGCTTGTATCTAACCAACAATTGCAGGGCGGTGACATCATGATTTAATAGGAAGTCCTTCCAGGTTCCCAGTAGGGCTGATTCAATTTACAATATGGATCAGTTTTTGTCTTAAAATACCATCCTTAAAACTACTTGTTCTATTTGATCCTTTTATCCTTCTTTTTATGCCAGCAGTTTTATTTTCATCGGGGTGATTAAAGCAACTAAAGGATTATGTTTTTAGCCAGTTTCTTCTCAACTGTCTTTTCTTTCTCAATCCATTTTGTTAACTCCTGAGGGGATAAATCTGTCATCCAAATTTCACTGGTAAGATTTGTTTCCAGTTATCTACTATAGAGCTTTATTTTACTTCTTCTCATAGACAGTATGCTATCAATTCATCCATTGCTAGGCCTTTCCTTTTACTTATCCCACAGAGTCTTGGTCATATTGAATTGAGGTTCTAAAAATACGTTTGACATCAATCTGTATGGCCTCTAATAGTGGCTATGGTTTTGGGTTGACAGTCAAATCACAAGACACCACCATAGGTACAGTCCAGGCCCATCTTCCCTGTGCCAAGATGGTCCATATATATATATCAGCCTTATCTTTTGTAACAAAGTGTATTATGTTTAATCTTGGGGCTTTAAAACTGTGCCTGGATGGTTGGAAGACCTCCTGATACATTCTGTGTTTCCTGTCCTGTATCCATTCTTAAAAGTAAATAAACATGGTGCTAAGTTGTAACAAAGTGTATTATGTTTAATCTTGGGGCTTTAAAACTGTGCCTGGATGGTTGGAAGATCTCCTGATACATTCTGTGTTTCCTGTCCTGTATCCATTCTTAAAAGTAAATAAACATGGTGCTAAGTTAAAACTTCTTTGTCCATTTCTGTGAGAAATGTCATAGGAATTTTGATGGGGATTGCATTAAATTTGTATATTACTTTGGGAAGTATAGTCATTTTCACTATATTGATTCTTCCAATCCAGGAGCATGGGATGTCTTTCCATCTTCTTGTATCCTCTCTAATTTCTCTCAGGAGTGGTTTGTAGTTCTCGTTATAGAGATTTTTCACATCCTTAGTTAGTTCAATTCCTAAGTATTTTATTTTTTTGGCGGCTATTGTGAATGGGCAGGCTTTCTTGATTTCTCTTTCTGCTTGTTCACTATTGGTGAAAAGAAATGCTACTGATTTTTGTGTGTTGATTTTGTATCCTGCTACTGTGCTGAACTCTTTTATCACCTCTAAGAGTTTTTTAATAGATGATTTGGGCTGTTCGATATATAGGATCATGTCATCTGCAAACAGGGACAGTTTGACTTCATCCATTCCAATCTGGATACCATCTCACCCCAGTTAGGATGGCAAAAATCCAAAAGACGCTGAAAGATAAATGCTGGCGGGGTTGCGG